TTAATACATACAGTCAAATAGACAAATGTACATACCTTGGTAGACAGAGATGGAACCTCTATAGGGCCATGGCATTGGCCAGCAGTGGGTTCACCCTGTTCATTGTTTTTATTGTAAATAGTGCTCCTCTGAGGAGAGTGATTCATTACAAGGTAAATAGTGAAATTTTGCAACTGATGGCCGTGATCCAGGACTTCAGACAAATTTAATCTCTGTATACTAGTTGGCAGTAACAAGATAAAGATGTTTTGGTAACCAAGGACATTGGGTAGGCTGTTCATTTGTAAAAGACATTCTTAAAGCATTCTAAAAATGCTCTTTGCTCTTGGGATACATGGATGAACGGAGCTGGCTTCCTTCTGCACTTAGAATATTCAATGATTTGAAAGCCAGGAATTAGAGCAGTGCATCGAGATAGGATTATGCCATTTTCAGGCTAAATGAGTCCAAATACTTCTTATTGCACTTAGGATAACAACCAGACTCTTTATTTGTTGGATCTACTTTCTGCTGCCTCTTTTACCAGCTTCACATATCACTGCTCTTTGAAACCACTTTTATCCCCAGTGTCTCTGCGTGCACTGTTCCTCCTGCCCAAAACAACTTCCGTGTCACCTTCCTCAATCTAATGCCTATGTTCAGACGTCATTAGGACTTTACTCAAATGCCTCTTTGTCCTGGAAGCCTTATTGAGTCTTCAGTCCATCAGGTCAAGTCCTGTGTTGCATTCTTCACAACCATCATAAATTTAATGAGTATTTAATTATTCCTGCTGTTTATCCTTTATGTTTTACCCACTATTCTGAAAGCCCCCAAGAACATGGTCTGTGGCATGGCTCATCTATTGGCAGTGAGTACTTCATTGAAAACATGAGTGGAACAGTGGGAACTAGATCTACAGGCATAGTTCAAGCCTTGGGAAAAGGTATTATTGAATGAGAACAATATAAATATGAAAGGGAGCATATTTACATCATTTTAAAAAGAGGAAGAAGAGCGTTACGGTTTGATCAAGAATATCCACCAAAGACTTCATCTCTTCATATGATGAGGTTTTGCAAGATGAATCATGGGACCTAGTATAGCTGACTTGCCGTTACCAAGTGGGGTCTGGTGGGTATAGATGAGTCATTCGCTTGTGAATTGGAAGGGAAGCTCTCCTTGTCTGGATCCTCCTTTCTCTATTTCCTGGCCACCATGATGTAAACAGATTTTCCTCCACTATGCCCCTCAGCTATCCTGTTTCTGTTTTGGAGCCAGTCTTCTATCAACTGAAACCATGAGTCAAAATGAACTAATCTTCCTTTAAATTGTAGGTGTCGGATATTTTGACTAAGACAGGAAGATGTTTTGCATCCATATCCTGAATATGCAGAGGCGATTACATGTGAGGTGGGTCAGCTAGAGGGTTTGCTCTAGAAATGAGCACATCTCCTATTTTCAAAAGGGCAGCACAACAGAAAATGGATTAAAGTTGCAGGAGAAGAAAAGTTAGACATCAGAAATCTTCTGAATCTCGGTAATAATGAGATCTAGATTAGAAAGAGTATTTCCTGGTACATTGAGAACTACAACACTGAAAAAAAATATTGAAGAGGATATGAGAAAATGGAAAGACATCCCTTTTTCCTGGGTAGGAAGAATCATTATAGTGAAAATGGCCATACTTCCTAAACTGCTATACAGATTCAAAGTAATCCTGATTGAAATCCCAACAGTATGTGTCACAGAACTAGAGAAAACAATCCAAAAATTCATTTGGAATCAGAAGAGACCTAGAATAGCAAAAGCAATTCTAGGCAACAGAGACATGGCAGAGGGCATCATAATCCCCAACTTGAAACTATACTACAAAGCCACTATGATAAAAACAGCATGGTACTGGCAAAGACACAGACTCAAGGATCAGTGGAACAGATTAGAAGATGCAGAAACAACTTATGATGTAGTCAGCTACCTCATCTTTGACAAAGGAGCCAAGCACCCTCACTGGAGGAAAGATAAATCTCTTTAATAGATGGTGTTGGAATAACTGGATTTCATCTTGCCAAAGATTAAAACTAGACCCTGTTTTCCACCATGCACTAAACTAAAAGTCAGGTGGATTAAAGATATAAATATTAAAAAAGAAACACTAAACTTGCTGGAAGATAAGTCAGGTAGAACTCTCTAAGAGAGTGACATAGGAAAAGACTTTATGAACAAATCCTCAGTAGCATGGGAACTAGCAGATAGAATCAACAATTGAGATCTCATCTTTTTAAAATGATTCTGCATTGCCAGAGAAATCACAAGCAGAGCTGAGAGACAATCCACAATGTGGGAAAGTTTTTTTACCTGCTGTTCCTCAAACAAAGGTCTACTATCCAGAATATATAAAGAACTAAAAAAAAAAAACAACAACAAATCAGACCCCTCCAAATTTAAAGACCCAGTTCAGAAATGGGCATCTGAAATGAACAGACATTTCTCAGTCAAAGAAGTAAAAGCAGCAAATAAACATATGAAAAAATGTTCAACATCACCAGTCATTCGAGAGATGCAGATGAAAACAACACTGTCCATCTCACCCAAGAAAGAATGGCTGCTATCAAGAAATCAATAAATAACAAGTACTGGTGGGGTTGTGGGGAGATGGGAACCCTTCTTCATTATTGGTGGGAGTGCAGACTGGTGCAACCACTGTGGAAATCAATATGGAGATACCTCAAACAGCTAGGATTGGAAGTCCCATTTTACCCAGCTATTCCTCTACTGGGTATCTTTCCAAAAGAATTAAAAGAATCATACTACAGCAATATATGCTGAACATATTTATAGAGGCACAGTTTGCAATAGCTAACATTTGGAAATAGCCCAACTGCTCATTAACTGGAGACTGGATAAAAAAGATGTGGTTTTATACATTATTTTATTTTATTTTATTTTTGGGGGGTACTAGGGATCAAACTTAGGTCTTTTTGCTTGCAAGGCAGGCGGTGGCACCACTGAGCTAAATCCCCAGCCCTGGTATTTTTTTACAAAATGGAGTGCTACTCAACCATAAAGCAAGATAAACAAGATATATTTATATATAAGTGGATGCACATTAAGGCCATAGTCTTCAGTGGAATTAATAAGTCACACGTGTAAATACTGAACAGTTTCTCTGGTGTGAAAAAAAAAGTGTAAATAAGGATTGGAATGTATAACTGATATTGTGTAATAGGAAGAAAAGTTTTAAAAGAGTAGAGGAAGTGGGAAGGGCAGGAGAAAGGTAAAAAGGGAAAAGAAAAATATGCAAAAAGAGAAAACATGGAAACAATATCTTTGTAAATAGGGAAGGGTGGAAGGGCTGAAGGGAAGGCTGGGGAATGGGGTAAAATAATTGAGATAAGTCATATAAAGCTAAAAGATCCCAGTGATGAATGGTAACTGTATTGTATACCTAAAATGCATCAATAGACTTAATAAAGATGAAAAAGAAACTAGATTCTGAGTTCAAATTTTAATATTATTACTTATTTATGTGACTTTGGATAACTCATCTAAATTCTCACTGTGTGATTTGCTTTTTTAAAAAATATAATTATAATGGCACCCACCTTATAGATAGAATGAATATGTAATTTATTCTTCAGTTGCAGGCATTTTTAAGAGTGAAAGGAGGGCAATGGTCATGGTTAATAATTTTGATAGAATAAGAAGTATTAATTGGAACTGTACCCGACACAAAAAGTATGGGCTTTCTGGTATGGTGTTATAAAGATTAAAGAAATTAACATATGTCACTCACTTAGATGCTTGACAGTGTTGAAGGCAAAGTACTACCATTAGGAAGTAAAAGGCTTTCTGGAGACTTTGGGAAAAGATGGATAGTGGACTCTATAGGAGTTTATAAGTGAAAGTGTGTTGGGGACTAATTCCTTGATATTTTTACCCTTCCTATTTATTTATTGATTTTTTTTTTTGAAGCAGGGTCTCACTATGTAGTTCACGTTGGTCTTGAACTCAATATGTAGTTAAGGCTGACCCCAAACTAGTGAAAGTTTTCTTGCCTCTGCCTCTTGAGTGGTGGGATTACAAGTGTGCCCCATTATGCCTGGCACCCTTCCTCTTTTAAAATATTTTTGATGACACCCTAAAAATGTACATACAAGATTACTGAATTATTATAAAATGAACAGATCCAAAAACCACGTATTTACTTCCACTCAGGTAAAAAAATAGAATATTACAGAAATCCAAAAGCCCCTCTTGAACCCTTTCCCAATCATTAACTTTTTGTGTTTGCCCTGGATTTAACCACTTTCCTGACTACTTCCTGACTCACCATTCCCATTGGTGAAATGAAATATGCAAACTTTTGAAATTGTACATATATGTATGTATATATTGTGTTCATGTATATATATGTATGCATTTATGCATATTGGCTGTCCTTAGTGTCTGGCTTCTTTCCCTCAACCCCTGCTTCACATGGTCTTTCATGTTGTTGAATAGAATAGTAATCTCTTTAATCTCATTGCTGTGTAATATTCCATTGTAAATAATTGTGTTTATTTAGTGATCCTACTGTTGATGGCCTTTGGTCAATTTCTAGTTTCTAGCTATTATGAAGGATTGCTGCTATGCCCATCTTTAGATTTGGGGATGTACGAGTATGTAATCTTTAAGGTTTATATGAAACCCAGGAATAGAATTGCTGGGTCCAAAAGAGGTACAGAGTTTAGCTTTAGTAGAGTGTGCTCCAATATTCCTGGGGCCGTGGAACCAATTCACCTTTCCCCCATGACATGCAGGAACTCAATTCCTCCTCATTTTCACCACTATTAGGTATATCGGTCTTTGGGAATTTTTACTATTCTCATTGTGGGACTTAAAGCGTATTTATGAATGCCACCTAATTATAACAATACCATTCTATCATTTCTTGAGCTCCTGCTAAGTGTCAGGCACCATGCCAGATGCTCCATAGACTTTATCTATATTGGTATGGTGTTCTTGCCCTCATTTTACAGGTGAGAACTACAGGGATGCAGTAATTTACACTAGTCCACAAGATCATAAGTGGCAAGGCCAGGACCAGGCCCAGTTCCATTTGTTTCTTGAATATAAGCCCTCTCTGACATCACTGGGCTGCTGAGCCTGCAGATTCCAGACGAAGGAGACAAAATGGTAAGGGAGCTGTGAACCAGAAGCTGCTCTGACTCTGCCTGTGTAATAGATTCTTGGGAGGGGTAGGCATCGGTGGGAGGTACAAATGCTCTCTTGGTCTCGCCACAGGACACTGTGTGTACTTTAATTGCCCAGTCATTAGGGGCGTGCTGTTTGTTCCCATGGGACAAGCATTTCAAGGGTGCTGAAGCAGAAAGCTTGATGATCATCCTATCTAGAACAAGGGAGCTTCCTCCTTTTGAAATAGCATCAGTTCTCTGAAGATCCACACCTTCCACTCCAGTGAATGTACACCAGAGTGGGGAAGACTCAGGGTTCTCCCTTTGCCAGGATAATGTTATTCTCATTACTTTTCTCCTGAGAAGAGGTCCCTGTCAATGTTTCCCACAGCTTCAGGAGGTTGTGTTACTGACTTCTGGATGAAAGTTGGAGAATTAAGGATCACAGTTCGGAGAAGCTCTACCTCCCCTGGTGTCTTTCTAAGGTTCCCCACGTGCTCACCATCCTTCCCTGAGGAAAATCTGGATCTCCTCATAGCCACTGTGCCCTTTCCACCATAATGAGTGGTAGAATGTTTACCGAGCACAATGTGTCCTTCACATGCGATGGCTGTGGCTGAGCTGCCTGCAGCATGCTTCCGGCTTTGGCACTTCCACAGTCTACCTGGAGGCCTTGGAAAATGAGGTGTGTCTGTAGCCTAGACATTTTGTCAGCTTTCACAATGAAAGATAAATGTCAGTACAAAACTATAAAACAACAAACAAAATCAAAAGAACTTAATGAATTATTCATATGGTAAACTCCCCTTGTAACCACAGTACTTGCCTGGGATGACTTGTTTCCTCTTTAACACCAGAAAATTCCATTTTACTTATCGAGACAGAGCTCAAATGTCATTTCAATGAAATTTTTCTCTCTCTCCAGTGTTATTTGACTTAATTTTCTGTCCTCAAAATGTATCTCAGATGCCTTAATTATGTACTCCCTTGACTGCATCTCACGTCTATCTCTTTGGTTGGCAAGGTCTGGAGGGATCTGTGATCAATAAATAAATGTATCTTGAGTAAACCAGGTCTATAAAGGCCTATGCAAATTCTTCCTAACAAAGATGCTATGTGAACACTTACAAAAATAATAAACTAGGAGTAGGCAGAAGCAAGCATATTTTTAGCTGTAATTGTCGTGTAAGAAACCCACAGGATATATAAAAAATGTAATCAGAAGATATGGGGTGAGACACCTAGTATGTTCCAAAGAAGATCAAATAATGTCCCAATGAATGCACACATTTTGAGCTCAGGGAAAAATTTAGGCCTTTTTTCCTTTAATTAAATTATGTTTTATAGTTCAGGAAAAGCCTTAAAATATCCTTACCACTTAAAACAAACAAACAAACAAACAAAACCAAATAGTACACATGGTGGATAACAAACACCAAATAATAAAAAGAGTGTGACCTTCCACCTCTTTCTTAAGCTACTTTTTTAGTTTTGTGAAATCTTTTAAAGAACATTTTTAGGGTACTGTAGAGCTTGTCAAATATTTATTTCTGGTAGAGAGTGTCGGTCCAGCGTGTGGACCTTGCTGCCGATCATATCTGGTTCTCACCAATGACTTATTACCTACTTGACCTGCCAGAAGCAAAAATTTCTCCAAAATCTTGAGCTGCTTTGGCTTGACCACTATGGATTTTTAAAGATGATACATTTTCTTAAGGATTCTTAAGTTTTTTTTCCTCGTGCCGCTTTCCCTGGTGTTTTGTTGTTTAATCTTTTAGATTTTTGGGCTGATAGAAAATAAGAGTCTTCTTTAGTCACTTTAGTCACTAAGTCTCAATAAGATGGTGGTGAAACCCTTCTCTGTGTGACTGCAGGCAGTTCTCCCAAGTACCTCTATATGTGGCCTTGAATAGGTTCTGTATGGGAGCATAGGCATTTCTCCAAACCACTTTGGGTATGAGCTTCTTCATGTGAAAATAGTAGGTGCTGATCTATGGGCCCTTTCTGCTCCAGTCTCAAGGCTCTGTATCTCAGTGATAGATTTCATGAAGCCATTTACAACCTGTTTTTCCATAAAACCTGTCCCCAAATCCTTTTCAGAAATTGTAGTGATGAATTTGTTCATGCCTCAGAAGGCTGTTGTGGAACTGATGAGTTAATTAATACCAGAACCTCTTTGAACCCTCCATTTTGGAAGAAGGATGCTCTGAAGATAAACCACTGCTTGTGATTATTTTTAGAAATCATATGAAGGGGGAAATCCAACCACAATGTCAGCAGACAGCCTGCCGTGGTTCACTTCAGCAAGTGCTTCCTTCATCTGCCAGCCTGTGAAATCTTGGGAGCACAGAGAGGAAGAATGGTTCTGCAGCTCAGGGTGACAGAAGAATAGAAAATGAGTGGTCTTTGCAGAATATTTATGGGTCACTTTATGTTCACTAGCGTGTGCAGGGAGGCATGTTGCAAAAAGACAAGTTTAAATCAATACTTGGGATTTTTTTTGCAGGGCTCACAGTGATTTAGGCTTTTTAAATATATGTAATGCCATATTTCTAGCATGCCAGGAGATGGAGAATACACTCAGTTCTTTCATCCGGGATGGTAAATCACAGAGCTGTAATAGAGATGTGAAATGGGCATTAAGCAAAGAACAAGCAGGCAGAGATGAACACTTCTGAAGTGTCATAATCTATTTCATTTTTAAAATGGAATTGGGTTCTACTATCGCATATAAAATATAGTTTTCCATTTCTAACTAACATAAGTTCTTCACAATAGGTGAAGAGTGTGGGAGGGGATAGGAGGTAGGCCTTGGGATAGGGAGGAATTAAGGGTAGGGAAGGATTATTGAGAAGGAAGGTAACTTTTAGTAAATCTTATGGAATGTGAAATTGTAAATAAAGATGGCTCCTTACAAGACAGCACCAGACTTGCTCAAAGGGCTTTAGCAGGCAGATCATAAGAAAAGGAAATCCAAGTAGCCAACAAGCTTATGAAAAAATGCTTAACATTGTTGGTTATTAGGAAAATTTAAATTTAAATCACAAAGAGATACTGCTACACTTTCATCCGAATGGCTAAAATTAAAAGACCTAGGAATACCAAGTTTTGAGAAGAAAGTAGAACAATTGGTACTCTCACACATTATTAGTGAGCTTGCACATTGGCAAAATGACCTCTATCAATATTCTTGGAACAGTATGTAGAAGCATCCTAAAGCTAAATGTGTCAGTTCTATTACTTAGAAATTCCAATTCTTATATTCATTAAAAGACAAGTATAAGATGCTTCATATCCCTATTACTTATTATAATCCAAAACAGGAAATAATTCAAATATCCACCAACAGTATAATGAATAAACAAATTGAAAGACATTTATATACCACACAGCAATGAGAAAGAACAAACTACTGATCTACACAATTTGGATAAATCTCATAAATTAGATGTTGAGAAAATTAAACCAGATTCAAAAAAGCATTCATTGTTTGATTCCATTATGCACTATCAAACAAGCCACGATAATCTATGGTAATAGATATAAAACCAGTAGTTACTTTTGGGAATGGTGTTGATTAGCAGGGGCATGAGTGTGCCTTCTGGAGTGCTGGGAATTGTCCACATTTTAACTATATTAAAGGTGGCTACACATGTGTAAACATATTTAAAAGTTTATTGCACTTTATAACTTAGATTTCTGCTTCTGTGTCAATCAAATATTTCAATAAAAAGTCTAATCCCATTTGGCCCTACATGCAGTGAATTAGACTCTATTGGTATTTTTTGGTGAAAGGAGACTTGCATGTATCTTTCCAATATACTCAAAGTTCCTTGGAGGCAGAGACTATTTAATTTTATTGCAGAATCTACAATGTCTAGAGACAGTACATGTCTATTGAGTAACTTGGCTAAGTTTAGACCCTTATGTTTGGTGGCACCCTGACTGAAGTACCTTTGATAATTTTGATATGTTCTTTCATTTTATAAAACAAGCAGTTTTTATTTCTCAAGTCGTATCCCATAAAGTCTCCAGAGGACAGTAGAACTGCTCGATTAACTCTTTCTCTTATCATAAATAGTAAAGTGAAAGTAAAGTTAAGACTACCTTTGCTCTGGAGACAGTATTTTATATCAGAAGAATGTGAGCTCCATAATTAAGTAAGCTAGCCGCAGACGGTAGAACTATCATCCCAGCTTTGTCTGTGAATAATGTTTATATTGCAGGGTTAGGATATGAGTTAAAATTTTAGGAAAGCAGTTGATGTAATGTGTGCAGCACATACTAGGTGCTTAACCAGTGTTAGTCCCTTCATTTCTCTTTTATTTTCTTTTCCTGTAATCAGATTCATGATACTAGATTGTCTGGAATAATGTCCATGAAGATACTTTTTTTTCCTGATATACCACAACTTAGATCCCAATTATATTGACATTTCTATCCTGAAATTCTTCACATTACCTTACTTGTGTAATACAGAAAACAATTGCCAATTGTCCTCTGAGAATTATCTGTCATAGTTGGGATCTAAAATGTACCCCTCAAAGTCTCAAGCATTCAGAGGTCAGACTTTTATAAGACAGGGGTGCTATATTAATCAATAGATTAATCTACTACTGAGTTTATAGCTGAATAGTCTATTAAGAGGTAGAGCCTAGTTGGAAGAGGTGGGTCACTAGTGGTGTGACTTGCAAAGGTATCCTCTTGTCCCTAGTTCTTCCCTTCCCTCTTTAGTTTCTGGCTGCCATAAAGTGAGGAGTTTTCTTTAGCTATACCCTTCCACCATGCTGTTTTTGCCTTGGAACCAGATGACCATGGACTGAACTCCTGCAATCATGAGACAAATTAAATTTTTTCTCCTTTAAACTGTGAGTGTCAGATATCATGTCCTAGTGATGAGAAACTCAACTAACATACAAAATTGATACCAAGAGTGGGATCATTGTTGTGACTATATCTGATCATGTGGTTAAAAAATCTTTTGAAAATGATTTGTGGGGT